CGTGTTCATGAGAAGCATAGAATGGTATGGAGAAGTAGAGAGTACTAGTACTATGTATGGGTGTTGGGCTATGACTTAGTCTCATTTATGTGACTGCCAGACGACGATCAGAAACAATATTAACTGGTTAGTCTACTTCACGGCCAGGGGTGGTTTGCTTATGATAGTTCGGTACAGATCACCATCTTTGCGAACCAGACTACAGTAGCTACTGAATGAGGTCAACAAGAGCCCATAATGCTACGCACCTGCTCATTTATAGTGGACGCTTCCGTGGCCGGACTGGACTGGTGAATCACGTAGAACAGTCGCATAAACTCCTCCAGTGTAAACTCGGGTGTCTTGTCGCGCGTTTCCTGGTCAACGATTTCCTGAGTGGATTGGACAGGTTGTGATGCTTGAAGATAAGCTTGTGGGTTTGCGCGGGTGGTGTGCGTGTTGGCATGTGGGGGATCTGCTGTGTGTAGTGGCGAGTGTATGCTTTATCGGTTGAAATGTGTTGCGTGTATTGTATAATAACGTCCTGATGTCACATGCTGCAGATTTGTACGCACGTTATCGTATACTCACAATACATCTTTTGGGGTCGGGGAACGCGTTAAAATATGGACACAGAAATAGTCATGATATCAACGCGCAGGTGGCGAATGAAGAAAGCCGCAATGCAACACACTGGCTTCAATCTAAATGAGGCAATGGCAGCCCCATCGCAGAGGCGTAGGTTGCTAGGACATCTGCAGTCGCATACAAGGGGATCTGCAGTCACGTACCTTTGGTGAGAGGTTCAAGAGCTCGTAGTATCGGATGGTCTTTACGAATTCATCACTGCAAGTGAATGTGAAAACCGTGAAAAACACATCGATCGCCAGGGCCTAATATTGGGCAATACGACAATACGACAATACGGCGCGATACCGCTCACTATTGCGATCTGAGTACTTTGTGACTCTCGTCCACTGCACGACTACACGCACGGCGAGTCATATCGAAGCACTCCGAATGAAGATATGGCATGGCTTAAACCGAATGGTGAAACAGCTACACCCCACCCATACAAACACCCGCATACCTGTATTTATTGGTGATGTTGGTCAAGTTCTGCTTGAGACCAAAGATGTTTCGGTACATCTTACTGACCCCGCGAGAGTTGACCTTCTTGATTTGGTCCACATACGTCATCAGCACAAAGCACATGAGCTCTGCCACTTGGTCAAACACAAATCTGTTGCGTTGTGTTGCGTTGCGTTGCGTGAGAGAAGAGAGGAGTGTGGGTGGCAGGGCTACAGCCTAGGCAAGTGGTATAGCTTAGTCCAGCCAAGGCAAGTGGTATAGCTTAGTCCAGCCAAGGCAAGTGGTATAGCTTAGTCCAGCCAAGGATGGGCACGTGATATAGTCACTGTGGTGTGATCAGTAGGTAAGGTCTTTGATACTGTGCATGAGCGTGCGTAGTGCATCAAGTAGAGCGTGCGTAGTGCATTTGGTGCCGAACTGAAAGGTCGAACTGGACCCGCCGAGTTTCGTTAAAGTATATAATAATGTTGACTATATACGTTAACATGCAACCAACGAGCACCTCAGTAGTGCAAGCGCCTAGCTAATCCGTTTACGGTCTCTACAGACTGATCTCTCTACCCATAACCAAACGGCGCAAACAAGACATACTCGACTTTATGGGCAGGCAGATAGTTTTCAATTGCGTCCTCTATGTTGGCCAGCGAGTCGTTAAGTAACATGACGTTCGCGTCGGGCTGAGCGGGCTCTTCATCCAGGAAGTAGACCGACTTCTGCAGCACGATAATCAGATAGTAGTATACCTGTATGATGGAGAAAGGGGTGGTTTAGGTAAATGTGATATATATATATATATATATATATAATATACACGCATATAGATACATACGTGTATATTAGAGATGGGGTTGTACTTGGAAGCGGAGCGGGTCTGATGGTTAAGCTACATCCCGCATCTGTTTGCGTTCATGTTCCTGAGTAGTGAGTTGTGCATTTCAAGCGTGCACTTATTATATTGTCATGGAGATGACTTAATTGGGCCCGTGATGCTCATGCACTGTGGCAGAGGCTTAAAGTGGAGACTTGTACGGCTATACGGTGCATGAACGATATAAGGTTATAGGGTGCATGGCTACTAGAAGGTGATAACGCATACTGGCAATGTAGGGTTGTACTGTATACTGTTGGTATAAGGTCACACAATGAGTGGCAGGACAGTTGCTCACACATACGACTCCATAGGGCCTCCTTGGTCGGTTTTCATATGATTGTCGTATAGAATACATTGTCGCTCCACTAGCCCGACATCATCTCAAACTGTCCCTCCACGTCGACCTTCAGTTGATTATATATATATATATATATATAAATATATAAACATACATAATTATATCTATATGAACATAATCACCTGGCATCGGACCTCCATCTTGAGCGCCAGCATACACCTGTCAGATATATCCTGAAACCCCTTGTATGTCTGCAGTAGCTTGAAGTCTTCGGCCTGTCCGTCGCCCTGAAGTGCTTTAATGCTCTTCCGTGGCACTGCTCGTGTTGGAATCACAGACATGCGTCGGTGTTTGGATTGCTGCGAGTCGACTCCAATTTTGTTTGCGAGCCATTCCTGTGTAGAGATACGGTGCGTGCGCGTGTGTTAGGGGTGAACCTGTGCGATTGTTTGCGGTAAATCTGTGTATATAGACTTGCATTTAAACTTGGTATATAGACTTGCATTCCATAATAGTCCAGTGCAGATACCACCCCACAGTGACAGACATCTTTCAATACACACAGCACATACGAATAACACTCATAACCAGACGCTGACAACCATAACCACATACGCGTGCACACGCACATACGTGAATCTGATAACCACAGCCACATACGCGTGCACACACACATACCAGACTCTGGTGCATGCAGGCCAGTGTTGTGAAGGACCCCACGTGTGTGATGATATTTGTTCTGCGGAAGGCAATCGCACTCAACAGTTCATTTTCAGCCTTGAATTGCTGTTGATGTAATATGAAGACAGACAAAGGGGAGGCGAGAGTGAGAGAATGGCGTGTGTCGAACGTATGTCGAATGTTTGGCCAAGCTCTTGACGTGTGCTCCTACTAGCAGCTGTAGCAGCTGCATCTCACCGAGCTATATACTCAGACGATCGTGCCGATAGCAGTTTTAGAAAGTGTGTACGTGACATTCAGCACTATGACTACACATACATACGCGCACACAAGGTTCTAGCACGTTATTCTGCCTCTCTATCGCGCGCGTACCTTCGTATGCATGCAAGTACCACCCCATCCGCACGTTGTCCCCCTCTACAATATCACTCACCCTATAAGCACGTTCATCTCCCCTTGTACTCGATCACTTACCCTCATATGCAGGTCCATCTCCTCTTAGGGGTTTATTACTTACCCTCACATCATCCTCATACAATATTACTTACCCTCATAATTAATACATACCCTCATACAATAATACTTACCCCCATAAAATATTACATACCCTCATACAATATTACTTACCCTCATAATTATTACTTACCCTCATACAATATTACCTACCCTCATAAATATTACTCACCCTCATACAATATTACTTACCCTCATAATTATTACTTACCCTCATACAATATTACTTACCCTCATAAAAATTACTTACCCCCATACAATATGCCTTACCCTCCTATGCACGTTGTTCTCCCCGTGTACACCACTACCTACCTTCAAATGCAGGTTCTTGTTGGTAGCCCCATCGATGTCAAAGCCCTCGCCCACCTTCGGCAGGTTGCTGCTGGTGAACTGCTCCTTCATCTTGTGCCACGCAGGATACTGCTTGATGATCTGTTCGATTTCTTCGTTTCTGCTCCAATCATCGCTCACCGTCTATAGCGCGGACAGACAGAGAAGGCAGCCGTGAGTATATTACATATCCGTGTATGGACGCGCATGAGGTATCGATGAGTCATCGGTGAGTCACGCAGGAGTGATTCATGCGTCATCAAGTACTCTATACGCATATATGTACCGAACGTTTAGAGTGCGTGCTGATAGGGAAGCGAGACCATGTCTCAAACGAGTGAAATCCAAGGACAGTGGAAACGATGGATGTGTCTTGACGGGAGGCGTTATAGACTCATAAGACAATGGTACAACAGCACAAGGAGCGCTGTCGGGTTGTGTGTGGCGAAACACGAAATAGTACACCCTATACAACCGTTGAGTTACACACTGACACGGCCAAAACAGAGAAACCACACGCCATCTGCCTGAAGCGCAGGTGGTCACCAGGAATGCTGGGTGGATAGGTAGGTAACGCTACTGCCATCCCGTAGAGTAAGAGGTTGATCTAGTTCTAAACACATTCCCCCTTAATTGCTCACTCGTAACGTGAGGAGAGGATCTGGCTAAGCAGTCACTCGCCCTCCTCATTCACTCACACGAATGTCACACAATATTGCACCACTTGTAT